GTCGTTTTTGCTGCTTGGCCTATAAAAAAGAATTAGTTTTTATAAGTTTATATTTTTTTTATGAAAAAGATATGAATATTAACTTTTTACAGACCTTTGACTTGCAAGAACTTGGCGGTAATTTTGTCCTCGTTAATGAAAACATAGTGTTTGATGCTATAAACTGTATTTAATCAGAAAATGCTAGTGTAAGAGATGGTATTTCGGGTCCATAACACTTTAGTGTCACAAAAAGTAAGCCATTTAGAAAGAAAATAGAACCATTTTGAATGTGGTAGAGACTAATTCTTTACAAAAAAGTGCGGATTTTTTTCAAAATATAACCATTTTTTTCTAACCTCAATTTTTTTATTTTTTGGAACATGAAGTGAATTGTTCGCCGAGTTCAGGTACGAGTTTTTGAAAAAATTTGTCAACACTCAAAAAAAAACTAGTTTCTATAGTAAATTTTCTCAAAAAAATAGAAAAACAGCATTTTTCGAGAAAAAATATAATGAAAAATTGAAGTGATCTAAAACCATATATTTTGTTGTTTGTAAAAATGCAGTATGTTTACCTATAGAGAGAGACAAATTAAAAAAATATATTTTTCGTCATGAAATGTACCACCCCAAACATTTTTCCCATATTCGCACAAGAAAACATCACTAACAAAAAAAATTGTATATTTGTTATACTGAAATATCAAAATATTTAAAAAAAAAATTACGTAACCGAACGCACGTAAAAAATGAATTGAATGTCGCCTGAAATGAAAGCATACCTAATTTTTCAAAAAAAAATCGCTTCCCGGCCAACTGACACAGATCAAAGAATATACATTCTTGCTTCTCAGCTTAATATCATTACTTCTGCCAAACAAACCTAAGTTGTCTTATCTATTGATTGTTGCAGTAAACACAACATAAAATTTTAAGAATATTTATTGATTTAAAAATCATATTTTTCTGCAATATGCTCATAAATAGTCTTTAATAAATAATCAATTAAAACGCTTAAAACCTATGTAAAATATAAAAACACAAATAAAATTGCGATAAATGAAATCAAACTCTCGACAAACGCACAAAAGAGCATCCGCGAATCGAAATTACTACGCTTCTATCAAGTAATAGGTAGTTTTCAACATCCGCAATAAAAAATAGTTCCAACTTGGAAAGGCCATTTATTTGAATTTTGGCTATAATCCGCAATTTTTTTTTCCAAAAATCAAGAAATACCTATCTGTAGTTTTATTTAAAACATATGTCAAATCTGTAATTTTGTGACACTAAAGTGATATGTCACCGGTATTTCATTGCATATGATAAAGTTATGCTGGCCAACCATTGCTGATTATATCACCCATATCATATATACTTTCCTGGTGATTATAACCAGAAAAGATCAGAAGCCTGTATCAGCCTGAGCAAGAACAGGCTACCCATTGTAACAGAGGGATCCTTTCTGGGAATTGCAGACTAAAAGGACACCTTAGTAAACTGGAGAGTAGAAGATAATGAGTACAGATTCTGTGAGCAGGATGAAAACCTCCATTCGCATTCTGACTGAATGTGTAGCACTCCAGAATTCAAGCGTACTATACTTAGGAGCATACCAAATAGAAGAGGTTGATCTACTTAACTTGAAGCCACTCCAAATCCTACACTTGACAAGATAGGATTGGAAGTGTCATTATAGACATCCTGACTATTTCCTGGATGTATTAGCAACAGAAGGGGACACAATAGATATTTTAGGTCACAGTGCAATAATACCCCATACCCAATCATATCATTACCCATATCATAGACTCTTGTCTGCAATGTGGATATTTCTCAGAGGCTTGGTGTCCATTGTCCAATTCCAAAAATACCTAATCCAGATTCTGTCTATGATCTTCATCCAATAAGCTTATTACCAATTATCTCTAATATTCTTGAAAGAGTGGTATAATCTCAATTTTTGATTGTTTCAGATTATACTTGATGCAAATCCATATTGGTTTTAAATGAGAAAAAAAAACCAAACTTAGTAGTTTTTTCACAAACACTTTTATTTAAAAAAAAAAAAATTAAAAATTCCTTATGACAATTGTTTCGAAATGTAACTTCTTCTCAAACGTGACTAATTTACATTTCGGTGTCTTAATGTATATACAAAGTAAACTAACTAGATAAAGTACTTAAGAAATATATTAATAAAATTCCAATAAGGGTATTATCATTACTGGGATTATCTCACAGAAAACCAAGAACAGGTGATTTAATAAAGGTGAATTATTAATATCTAATCGATCATTAATAGGTTATCTGAATTTTTTAAATCTATTTCATGTGTCTTTAAATGGTTTAATTTATTGCCCTTATTTGCTTCTAAATTTTAAATCTCAAAATTTTCTATAAAAATATGATTTTCAACCCAAAATAGGATTTGAAAATGTAAATTACTTTTGTTTTTAATATATATATTATAATGTTATGAATTGGTTTTGAAAACTACGTTAATATTTTGTTTTTTTTTTTAAGTATGATAATACCTTTTTCACAAGTCAAAGAAGGCAGCAAAGTACCTAGACAATTTT